GGAACTGGGGAATAGTAGGGGGATGGGTACAAAGAGTTGAAGGCTTCGTAAGTAGACGCTAGCCTCATACTGTGGACGCGGTCCGCCGACTAGAGCATTTTATGTGTGGACACACACAATCGGCTGTATACAACCGATTTCAATAAAACCGGCTTCTATAAATTCGAACTAATTTCGTAGTGTAGATATACCCTGAGAGAACTGGGTCTAGTCCCAGTTGTGCCACTGAACTGCTGTGTGACATTGGGCAGTTCCCTTGATCTTCTCTTCCTCTGCACACCCGTTGTCTGTCTCGTCTATTTCAGCTGTAAGAGACCTACTCTGTCCCTATTATAATGGCAGCCTGATCTCATCTGGGGCCTCTAGATGCCATTTAATATAAATAACTGTAGGAGGAATTTAGTTGCACTGAATGTAATTACCTCAGTTAGATTTTAACCAGGACCTAGAGCTAACACCCTGGTTCTACTGAAAAGTGCCATGAGATTTTTAAGGACTATAAGGAGTCAGGAAGTTTTACGTCGCCTCTCATAGATGGCATTGGCACAAGCATGCTAGTCACTACCACACTGCTGGGAGAGGGTTGTTGCTTCGGTACAGACTCAACGCTTCAATAGGGGGGTTCTTCCCTCTAACACCAATGCTTGCAGCATTCAGTGTTCTCTTTGGGATCCCATCCAAACATGGATCTGTCACAACCCTGCTTCTTGTGTGAGATGTGAGCAGCTCCCTTTTAATTCCCATGCATGTCCTTTTAAATCAGTATCTAGCAGCAAGTTCGCAAAATAGATTTTGCAGGTATTTCTTGGTAAGTACAATTTTGCCCTCAACACACCAGACCCATTTTAGGGGAACTCAGCTGTGCTCTTCCTGCCAGATGGAAGAATGATTCATACAGTCTGACCTGCTTTTGACTCTGCAGAAACATTGGGGTGACAATGATAACGATAAATAGTACTTTAGACGTATCTTTCATCCCATCAGTTTGCAGCCTACAACTGATATGCAAACAATAAGCAAAGGTTGCTTCAATCACCACTGAAGTGCAGCCATCTCTAGACCACGGTGAAGTAGCTGTTTACCTGTGCACAACAACAGACTCATCCGTTTAGGACAAAAAAAAGTAAGGCACACCTTATGTAGGGAGGCTTTAGGTTGGCAAGAAGTGTTGACCTGTGTCTAATATCTGACTGCTCAGGATGCATGTATTTGTTTTCACTTTTTATTCTACTTACGCTAACTTTCTGCTTTGCACCGTGCTGAATCCAGCAAAGGAACAGCTCCTGCTGATTCCACCCCCATCGCTGGGAGAGACAAATGTCAATTTCACTGACATGATGACTGGTCAGGAAGTCTGTGGCCTCCTGAAATAAACAGAAAAACAGATGAGTCTAAACCTGCTTGGCAGTTCAGGCTGAGCCAGTGCTGGACTGCCGGGAGGAGAAACCACTGAGCAATGCAGCAGGCACTAGAGTTGCTATAAGAAAAGCTTTGTCTGCTGAACACATTTTCTGTCACACAATATAATTAATAAACAACGGTGTCATCTGAAACACACTCACGCCTTCAGGTATTTGCTGATCTTTTCAGCAAACTCTAGACCTCATCGTATAAGAGGCCAAGCATCCTCAACCGCTGCAGAAGCCAGTGGGGCTGGAGGGCTCCCAGTATCTCATGCAGTACTTCCTACAATTTGCAACAGCCCTACCGTCGAAGAAGGAGGTTGATGCAACCCATGTACTTCCAAGTCAGTCTGGGATACCAGAACAGGACTCGGGCCCCAGCCCTGCAATCAGAGACATGAAAACAGAGCCCTACATCCATACAGAGCCCCACAGAAGTCAATGGGGCACCACATGGATGAAGCGTGCACACACACACACACACATGTGAATCTAATGGCAGGATCGGAGCCCTCGTTTGTGGTGCTTGAGCCCATGGCAGAACCTCTTCTTCCATCAGTAAAACTCAGGCTCATTCTCCCCTTCTGGCGAGTTTAATTTCCCTGGGATCCCTCACTTCTGTTTCCCATCAGTCATACTCTTTTGTTTCCTGGAGAATTATGTTCTCCACTTTATATGTATAGAATTCATACTGTAATACAAGTAACAGACACATCCACAAAACAGCTGTAGAAAATCATCCTAGGCAGTTAATATACAGAAGAATTCCCCTCCCGCCCCCCCACAGGCTGGTGTAATGTAAACACCATAGCTAGCAGCTTTGCTTTCTTTTTTTAATGGGGCCATGAAGAGGGCCAAACCCTGACATCTTCTCTCTGTTCTTACTCTCTCCTTACTCAGGCAAAACTCCCATTGAGGTCAGTGGGGAATTTTTGCTTGAGTAAAAATGCATCCCCTTCTGCAGAAATATTCGCAGGAGAGGAGAACGCCTCATGGATTTGTGACCAAATTACTCCATGGGGGAGAGGTATGTGCCTTGCACTGTGGAATGAGTTCCAGAGCCAAGATCCCTGGAGCTCAGTGTGCCTCTGCTCTGGCTCTCGCCTCAGTAGCATGGCTTCAATTAATAGCACAGCAGTCTTGGAGTCCAGAGAGCAGGATTCTATTCTCGGCTCTACCCAGTGACTTGCTGTGCAAATGCAGGCATGGTACCCAACCTCCCTGTACCTCCGTTTCCCAATGGATGAGGAGGATGACACTTCTCCTCCTATGTAAAGCACTTGCGCTTCCCAGGAGGAGTGAGAGATTTTGAACTTATCTCCTGAATTCTAGGCTAAGCTAAGAGTCTTCCCAGTATAAGGCCTCTAAGTATTATTCTCTGCAGCAATAGTAACTATATAAATAGTTCGCATAACGATGCCCGTGTATATTTTTCCATCTGATCATTTGAACCTGAATGAGAAGTGATCATTTTATTTTACCTGCAGTTTTTCAGCTAATTGTTGCCTCTACTTGAGTTCTACGACTTTTAGGTCCCTGCATGTTTCACTGGCTTGTCCAGGCTTTGGGGAGTTCACGAGTAAGCCAATGGAAAGCAGTTGAAAGGTGTTAGAACAAGATCCAACAGTCAGGCAGTGGGGCCAAACAGCATCTACTTTTGCAACAGCCACTCAGACAAAAGGGCCTGGGCACTAAGTATCTTTTCTCTTAGTACATTTAGCGCCACAAGATCTCAAAGGATCTGATGCAACTCCTAGTGAAGTCAATGGAAACCCTCCCACGTGGCCCTGTTAGGTGTGCCCCAATCACACTTTAATCAGACAGCACGGGGCTTTTAGTTTCTTTGGCTGTAAGTGGGCGTCTGGTGGCCATCACTGTGTTTAAGGTTGCATTACAGCTTTCATTCTTGCCTGCAGTTTTCAGAAGCTCATAACTCTTTGAACAATCACCCCATTATCGTGATCATTGGGCTGAAATAAACATGCAACTTACTGAAAAATGTCATTGCCTAACAAGTCATTAGAGGAAGAAACAAAAGGAATGGCTTTGTGGTTATTGCCTGCATACCCCATGAAAGCTGGACTGGAGTCCTGGGTCCAGTCTTCCGCTCCTTGGGGTTGGAAGTCTGACAGTGGGGTGGAGGAGAACCTTGCCTTATTTCATTTACTCCTCAAGCCGGTTTGGTAATGGACATTGAAGAGCTCTTAAAGGGAGATTTGCAGACTTTGAGGGAGGGGGTAATACACCACAGACAAAAGGAGGGAGGCTTGTGGGGGTTGGAAGATTGTGAGAAGCCCCATGCAGGCAGGACTTGCAAGTCTGAGCCCCAAGTTCAAAGGGCTAGGAAGTGTGAAACTTACAGATCCCAAAATCACACTTGATGCTGTAACTAAACTACTCTTCAAAAAACCTTGGGCCTGATTCTCTTCTCATTTATACTGGTGTAAATCAGGTGACACTATTGAACTCCAAGGAGTTACACTCGTGCAAAGTGAATATAAATGAGAGGAGAACCAGGCCTTGTGACTGTCATGATCAGCCCTGAACTTATTTAAACTCACATGGGCTCAATTCTCAGCTGGATTGAGTATGTCCCTTTAGTTACAACATTTAGGGTTATGTTTCAAAGAAATTCACTGGCAGGATTTGCAAAAACAGAAGCTTTTCTCATCAGAATAAAAGGGAACTGAAATAACCTCAGAGAAAACATTAAGGGGGTGGGGGTATCTTTATTTACTTTGAAATAACTGTGATAAAGTCAAATCATCTCATGGTACAAAAAATGTTTACATATTTTTGGTGGTGACTCATAGCTCAGTTCACACTTCTGACTACAAGGTCTTAATAGGATATCGTGGTAGCATCTTTTTTTAGCAGGGAGGATTTATAAGCACAGTTCTCTAGAGCGAGGCTCACAGAGTTTTGCAAGCCAGTGTGTCTATATAAAAGTGCTGAACTGCATTACAACTGCTCCTGGAAAAAAGCACCTGGCCATATCTCAAACCAGTTCCTCCCTCAGGTTAGGAGTGACTCAGACAAGGACCTCCAGCAAAACTTAGTTGAAAATCAATCTCAGACGTTTACTAACCTGGTAATCTCTGCTGGGTGGGTCAATGTCTTCAAATCTCAAAATTTGGGGAGTTAACCCTTGGGGTCAGACTCAGAAGTACTTTCCCAGTCCCAGAAGTCCCAGAAAGCATAAAATGGGATGACAGCGGCTGACTGGGGCCCAGCACATGTAAAATATTTGACATCAGACCGAACGTAAGGAGCAGGCTGCTGGGTGATGGAATTGTTAGGGGAATACATCTAAGGCCAGTAGAAGGGCTGGGCTGAGAGGAAAAAGGACAGGGACTGAGAGTCTAAGTAGCCATATTTTGATGGGGCTTAAGCAAATCTCCCAAACTGTCAGAGATTAACTCAGTCAAATGTTAAGTGTCTGATTTTGCTGCATTGAGATTCTAATTCCCTCAAAATAAATTTTGTATTTTTGATGTAAGGGAAAGCGAATAAGCTAATTTGTCCCAATTTTAACAACTTGCAATGCCACAAAGACACTTTAACACTGTGCTGCACCGTTCTCATATAACCAGGCTATAGGGCCAAAGATTCAACTATACTCAGCAAGAGGTACTAAAACTCAGCTCAGGTTGCCTGCAGTACTCAGAATCTGTTAGTATTAGGATATTCCTAAAGCCAAACTACCCTCAGCCCCTGCAAACAAAAACCTGATTTCTGTTTGTGTTTATGCCTAAACTTTTCCGACCCTAGTCACATACTTGCTTGTTTCTGGGCACAACAGTTTCAACAATTTTATGAGGAAAATATGACTCATTGACTTCTTGCAAATATTTCTGCTGATGTTTTGTCCTTTTAAACTAGTAGTTATGGTTTTTTAAATGACTCCAAGAAATTTATTTGTACTCATTATACTATCGCTAGAGAAGGCATTAGTGCCTGTATAAAATAGTAAAACATCCCATTTCTGTTAATTAAAACAAACACACTTGCTTCCATTTAGTGTATGTCTGAAAATAATTGTATTTGAGTTTTGCTTCCTGCAATAATTTGTGGATACATATATTAGTACTTAGATCTCTCCTGACCTATTTGTACCAACATATCAGATGGCTACTCATATAATTAATAAATATTTGCACCCACTGTTCATTGCATGCAGCAAAATGTGGGCTCAGCTATCTACTGCTACAGAACACTATCCACAAAAATGGAGGCCAGGTTGAGCTCAAGATGAATATCAGGCCTTAAGTCTGAACATCATCTCAGATCTCTAATAGGTATAGATTGAGAAAATTCTGTACCATCCTTCCATAATGTTGTAATATGAGACACAAGTGACTGAGTAGACGATGTGTTATGTCACTGGTCTACTTTGTCTTTTACTTTGGATGTTAACTTTGTTAGACACATAGTACCCAAAAACCATTTTTATTTTTTGGTCCTACATAGATCACTCTAAATTTGTCATATACTGCTTGATGCTTACTTTCCCCTCTCTTTATTTTGATTACTATTATTTATTTATTATTTCTAATCAATAATTTTGCTTTAGCTGCATAGTACAGGCATTGACTGGGTAGGATACACGAGGTGCTCCCTTTCTTCAGGTTTGTGAAAGACAAAGGGAGTTATTGTATTTTGTCTTATCACAATTTAATCCTTTTATGCAGTAGCCTCAAGTGTGCCCAGCACTTTACATAAGGACCTATGGCCCTGATTCTGAAATTGGATCCACATATGCCAACCCCTGTGCCCATTTGGAGGCTGTCAATGGAGCTTCACATGAATCTGCCTACAGTACATGGATCAGACTGCAGGGCTTATGCCTGCTGCATGGTGGCCAGACAAACTGTGCTGGCGGGAATGGTTTCTACACCATTTTAACCAAACTCAATCTCCACTGTAGATGGAGCCAAAACTAAGTAAAGAGAATGAATTAC